CAGCTCTGAGTATGTAATAGAGACGACTCTTGGCTTATACCACAACATTTTTTAGCTCAACATCTTTCTTTGAAAGGGTTAGAATCTGGAAGGGAATGGCAGACAGGTAAATATCTTAGGAGTCAGAGGAATGATTTGCATATTGTCACAGATTAATTTCTTACTTTCCTCTGATTGCTTAGCAGGCCTGCAGAGGAGGGTGAAGGATCTCAGGTGGATGACAGCACTCGGTGAGAAATGAGTTGGAGTGTGGCAGGATGTAACTCAGAGACTGATCCAGAGATGTTTGTAGACTGATCGTGAGATGACTGATGATGTCCAGATTCGATACTGGATGTCCACGAGGAGGAACCGCAGAATCAGGATTAGGAGGCACAAGGAAATACACAGGTTAGTTTCTGTTTTCTTAGATAAGGGCTGCAGGGTATGTAACTAATTACTGGTTGGTAGTGTAATGTTCCAGCGGAGAACTGATCCGAAGGTCCTTAAGTCGTCAGCCAGGCTCAGAATCAGCTCAGTAAGACTCTGCCCTGTCACCCAGAGACATGCAAGGAAGTGGCACTGGAATCCTACACGTTTCTGGCCCATGGGCCATGTCTTAGACCCATGTGCATAGCAGGGGCAGAGAAAAAGATGGTGGTTGTGATGGCATGAAAGTAGAGCTTTCACATTTATGTCTGAACAATATTTTTTTTTCCTCAAAAGACACATTATCTGCTCTTAGTGTGGTCCTTCTCCCGCTCTTTTATGCTCACATTATGCAATCCTGTACTTCTTTCATTCCAAGCCTACAAGGCTCTGGGTCTGGAGGAGGATGGAGGACCTCAACAGGTGGGGATTTTTTTTTATTCTGGGGATAGAGGAGGAGGAAGAAGGCAGTGAACTGTTCCTTAATAACAAGGCCTATGATCTGCGCTGTGCCGCTGCTTCTTGCCTCAAAAGATAATTCAGCTCATGTGACAGCCGGTCCCAGGCTGCTGCTGACGTGACCCCTTGCAGCAGGGCTATCTTCACCATCTGTCTGCAAATGGACCAAAGGGCCACAGAGAGAGCCAAGTGGAGAGCAGGGGCGTTTCCAGACTGTTTTCAAAAGTGTGGCCTGATGGGGGCCACTGACATTTGTGGTTGACACCCAAACCAAAAGTCATATTAAAATGTATGTTCATTTTTTATACTCAACAGTATAAATGGTTAGAAAATATAAGAGGGAAAGCATCACTTTCTGACATCGGTCTACTTTGCTTTATAAAAATTTTACTGCAGAAATTACTAATTGATTCTACAACAGTCATCACCCACATCCCTGAACTTTGTTCTCTTTTTAAAATTTTATATGTAAAAAATATGCATTTAACTCCCCAAGACCTATGAGGACAATGGCTTTCTGCAATAAAATATTTCATTCGTTTCAGCTTAAACCTGTTTTTCTTATTCAGTGACATGTTTTTAGGTTGTATTATTTAATTTCAAAATTGGTGTTTAAACTACTAACTGTTGAAAAGAACATTTTGTTTTAATGAGGTTCTACTAATCCAAAATGACTAAGGGAAATGAAAAATGGACACGGAATTAATTAGCTAGTTAATGCATCATGTTTTTAAAATATTCTAACGAGGGAGGTGATGGGAAGATGGAAGGAATACTTTGAGGAGCTAAATGAAAGGGGGAAAAGAGCAGAGGTCAGAGAAACTGTGGACGTGAGAAAGATTAGAAGGTGATGTTCGGAAAGCGTTAAAGAGGTTGAAGAAGGGGACCTGATGACGTAGCAGTGGAGGTATGGAAATGTCTAGGAGAGATGGCAGTGAGGTTTAATCCTCAATTATTCAATGGTGTTTTTCAATGTGAGAAAATGCTCGAGGAATAGAGGAAACATGTGCTGGTGCCCATTTTTAAGAACAAGGGTGATGTACAGAGTTGTAGCAACTACAGGGGAATTAAGTTGATTCACACAGTGAAGATCTGAGAGCAGTGTTGCCAGGTAGAGTCAAGGTTTTCCATCCAAAAAAATCTGTTAAAAACCGCCACATCACACAAAAACCCACCCAATCAGTAGATTATTATATTTACTGTTTGAACCTGAACACACATCAGTACAAGCCAATGTAATTGTGTATGTATATATATATATATATATATATATATATATATATATATATATATAT